TAACCATAGTGAACACGAAGTTCGCTTGACTTCGAACGCGAGGTTTGTCTGTATTGAGTACGAGACTCACCTAAGCAGAACGCGAGGTTCGTCTGAAAATGAACGTGATGTTCAACTAGAGAACGAACGCGAGGTTCGTTTGAAAAATGAACACGAGGTTCGACTGAAAAATGAACACAGGGTTCAACTTGAGAATGAACGCGAGGTTCATTTGAAAAAAGAACGCGAGGTTCGACTGAAAACGAACACAGGGTTCAACTTGAGAACGAACGCGAGGTTCGTTTGAAAAATGAACGCGAGGTTCGACTGAAAACGAACACGAGGTTCGACTTAAATTGAGCGCGAGGCTCACCTGAGAACTAAACGCGAGGCTCACCTTAGAACGGAGCGCGAGGCTCACCTTAGAACGAACGCGAGGTTCATTTGATTTGAGCGCGATGCTCACTTGAGAACGAACGCGAAGTTCAGTTAAATTGAGCGCGTGGCTCACCTGAGTACGAACGCGAAGTTCGTTTGAAGCTTTCAAGCCTCGCCAAAATCTGAGGTAACCACCTCCTTAATTTTCACCACGTTTTCACGCACGAACCCTTAGGGTTTCAATCTAAAACCGCCGCCGCCATTGCTCCTGCACCCAAAGGTCAAAACCCTAGGGTTTCCTGACGCCGTCGTCGCCGTCGGAGTCGAGAGCGAGGCCGCCAGCGACGCTGCGCCGGCGAGGAGCACGGGACCGATGACCAAAAAACCAAATAGATCCAAAATTTCTCGATTTTATTTCAAAAACAGATCCAGAATCGAAAAAAAAAATTTCGTGATCCAGATCCAAGAAAAAATCCAAAAAATTCCATGTGGCTCTGATCATCCTAAGAATCCAAAAAATCTAAAATTTTTTTACTGTTCATCCGAAAAATAAAAACGTACCTGTTCATCCTAACGTTACTGTTCATTCGAGAACAATTCTTAATCAAAACCAGAGATTTTTAAGATCAAAAAACCTAATTTTTTAAGAACTTAAACCCCTAAGAATTAATCACATGTGGCTCTGATACCATTTGTTGGATCTTATAAAAACTTGAGATCTAAACCATAAAGCCATGATTAATTCAAAGAGATTTACAAGAATCAAAAGAAAAGAACGGAAGCTTATACCTGAATCCATAGATTAAACTTGAGATGGATTTTGGATCTTCTAACCTTAGGGTTTCTCTAGCCAAATTTCTCTCTAGATGGGGTGAAGAGAATTAGAGAATGTAACCCTAGATTAGGGACCATAACCCCTTATTTATTAATGTTGTACATTTGCAATTTGGCCCCTCATCAAATCACAATTACAACCTGGTATCTGCACATATAACCCATTGAAGCTTTTGAACATCCTTCAGTGCTGAGGCCTTTGGAGGCCATTTGGGTGAACTACGTTCGGCTTGTTTCCTTGGGCAAGAGGATACGTATGCAGTCTTTCAGATGCAGCCGGTTTGATCAGTTGATTCAGATGGGGGGAGAGATCGCGTTTCAGCTCTAGACTGGTTCCCTGACTTGTTGAGGGACTATTGGATGATTTGGTGTCGGCTCAGTTTTGGTGGAAACATTCGCCGAGGTGGAATGATAGCAATACACACAGATTAATCATATGTGCCCACAAATAGATTTAATTAGATTTAAATCCAACATTTAACACGAATTAACAAAAAAAAAAGCTTCCACTACGTGAATTCAGGTTTTGATCCATAAAAGGACACTAAGCCTATGAAGACATGTTAGAATATAAAAATATAAACATCAATCCTCGCCACATCTTCGCAATTATGGCGTAGAACCAGGTTTATCATGCGCGCACGAAGCACATCGACGTCAGATTCCACTTTGTACGTGACGTTTTGGATGATGGAGACGTCATATTAGAGAAGGTCCACACGAATGACAACCCTGCAGATATGTTGACCAAAGTTGTTTCAGGAGTGAAATTTGGTCATTGTTTGAAGCTTTTGAACATCCTTCAGTGCTGAGGCCTTTGGAGGCCATTTGGGTGAACTACGTTCGGCTTGTTTCCTTGGGCAAGAGGATACGTAGGCAGTCTTTCAGATGCAGCCGGTTTGATCAGTTGATTCAGATGGGGGGAGAGATCGCGTTTCAGCTCTAGACTGGTTCCCTGACTTGTTGAGGGACTATTGGATGATTTGGTGTCGGCTCAGTTTTGGTGGAAACATTCGCCGAGGTGGAGAATTGAAGAATTACAGGAAAACAGCAAAGAAATCAGCCAGGGCAGACTGGTGGTCGACCTGGCTGATTTCGTTGCTGTTTTCCTGTTATTCTTCCTATGAAGACATGTTAGAATATAAAAATATAAACATCAATCCTCGCCACATCTTCGCAATTATGGCGTAGTTGAAGGGTCCTTCAACGACATCAAACACCAATCTAATGAGACTTCATAGATATTCATTATCTACTGTCTAAACCCAGCTCTGGCAATTTGAATCTTCTTTCTTGTTTTGCAGTGTGTACTAAGCTTGAGCTAGCAAGAAAAAAGTGGAGGTAGTTCTGCACTTTCCACGTGTCGGTTTGTCTTCCATTGTCGTCGTCTCAATAAAATGTTTGCTCTTGTTTGCGCTCTGTACTATTAATCAAGTTTGCACCTTGATGTTGTAGCACATCCTGTGTCAATAAACATTCTCGTAATAGAAGATAAAAGGTTCTCTAATTGCGTTGTGCTCTTGTTTAAATCTGGATTCATAGAGCATGTGAATTAATGATGACAGATCCAAATACTGTTGACGCAACAGCATGTATTAATATTGAAGGGATAACTTTCTAAATTACAATCGTTGAATTTCATGAACAACTATATATGTTTCTCATCTTGATCAATGGAAAGGTTTGATAGTGTTCATGAAGTATAATAATGTTAGCTATATTGAAAATAATGTTCAACTTGACGGTTGCAATTGAAGCTATCTTTCTATTATATGTCAAAAATTTTCGAAGGGTTAGATTATATAATCTATGATTTCATCCTACATTGTCTAAACTCATGCTATTGCACTGATATATACAAGATATATGCATTCGGGCAATATGAGAAATAAAACTTTTAGTTAAGTCTAATTCAACTTTTTAAAGTTTAATTTCATGTTAAGTCCAATTAAAATCTAATTAAAACAAGTTGAATTAGACATAACGTGATTTAAATTAGACTTAAAAGAAATTAATTTAAACTTAATATAAATTAAATTGGACTTAACATGAAATTAGACTTAAAAGAAGTTGAATTAGACTTAACATGGATTAAATTAGACTAGAAACAAGTTGAATTTAGACATAACATGATTTAAATTAGACTTAAAAGGAATTAAATTAGACTTAACATGAACCAAATTAGACTTAACATAAAATAGACTTTCATGTTAAGCCTAATTCAACTTGCTCTTAGACTTAACAAGAAAGAATGGAGGAGATAAGGGCATTTTGGGGTTTTTTACTTTTTATTATCTCTCTATACTTAGTTGGCATGTAATAATTACTAAAAGAGTGCTGCAGAACATAGATCTCGAATTTAAGAGCTGAACCACATGGGAAAAAGTTAAAGGGGTTGCAGCACATGAAGAGTTTGCTTTGGGGCCTTGACACAATTTTTCCTAAAAATTTTCAAGGAGTTTTTAGAAAATTTTGCATTTTAGGTTGTATTTGGCAATTTTTGAAAGTTTTAGGGTTTTTTGCAAATAAAAAATTTACAAGGGGCTATTTGTAATTCCTTGATTATTTTAGTGTATTGTTCTTGGTTTGCTGTTTTCAGGCTTTTTTTTATTTTTAAATTTATGAGAGTTTTAAAATTTTAAGATTTTTATGCAAATCCCAAAATTTTTATGGGGCTACTTGTAATTCCAAGATTTTCAAACGTTGACATATTTATAGAATTTTTGTGAATTTTGAATTTTTGAGGGTGCTTATTGCAACTTTGTAAGTTTAGGGTGTTTTTTTGCATATTCTATAACTTTAGGGGCTGTTTGCAGTTCATAGATTTTTATTCTGTTTTCGGTTTAAAATTTTCAAGCTGTTTTGTAACGTTTAATTGAGTGCATTTTTACCAAATTTTAAAAGTTTTAGGGTATTCTTTTAAAATTTAAAACTTTTAAGGGAGCTACTTGTAAGTCTTAATTTTACTACATTGTTTTGTGTTTGAAAGTTCTAGTTTTTTTGTAAATTTAGATTTTTTATGTTGTTTTTGCAATTTTTTATAGTTTTACGGTGCTTTCCATAAATTCCAAAACTTTTGGGTAGGTTTGTGTTTCCTTGATTTTTATTGTAATGTTTTCAGATTTGAAAGTTTCAGTTTATTTTTTAAATTTGGTTTTTGAAGGTGTTTTTTTTATAATTTTCTAAATTTCAAGGTGTTTTCTGTAAATTTAAAATTTTTTCAATACGATTCGTATTAGGTTTGAAATTTTCAGTGTTATTTGTATGTTTTAAATTTTTTAGGATTTTTTTTATAATTTTGGAAAAATTTATGGGGTTTTTTTTTAGTTTTGAAATTGTTGGAGTTGTTCGTATTTTTCTGTTTACAAGGGGAAATTTGTAGTTCTATTTATTTATGAGGCTTTTGGTATGTTTTGAAACTTTTTATTGGGTTATGTTTAATTACACACGATTAAATGATTCAAATCTAAGCTTCCCCCACCTTTTAACCCTTCATTTGATTAACCTTTATAATCATATGAGGTTAAACTTTCAATATTAGTGAAATTTTAACATGATAACAAGCATGGTTAAAGTTAGAAGACAAGTTCTAAGGTGCATATGTAAGGCTTCATTTATTCCCCAACCAATAACTTCAGCAAAAGAATGAGTTAGTGGCCGACGCCTACAGACTTCAATAGCTCAACTCCCAACCACTCAATAGTTCACTCAACCTGGGTCTATAAAAACGCCAGCATTATGTACACAAAAGCATCACCAACGGCATTCACTTACTGTTGTATGGCAATCATGGCT